CATTGGAGGCATGTCTCCCAGTTGAAATGATACAAATGTTAATGCGTTTCTGAGAAACTGATAGTACCTTTTAGTGGTGAAGACAACTCCTATTTGCTTTGCAAGGGTGTTACATTGAGCTTCCCATAAAGCAAGGTGGCATTTACCTCATGAGTGGGTATGGCATATTGCTTAAGGAAAGGCTAAAAAACCAATGATGTAAAAAGATGGCTCCTTTTATTTTATTGGAATTTGAGTAATTCCACATATGTACATGACTATTACAAAGTTTAGCGTAGACTCAGATGGTTAATTCTGCAAATTGAATGATTTCTGACTGTCCATAATGGAATAAGAGGATTACGTTGATCTGTGCAAATATGGGTGAGATTGACAAGCTGTGTGTTCGATTGCAAATTGCCCATTTCACACTGCTTTCAGAGCCGAGGCACCTGAGCATGCCTGCAGCTCGGGTACAAGTCATTAAGGGGAGAAAAAGAAAACAAATGTAAACTGGTATCAATAGCTATTTTGAAAAATACACCAAAACGTATATGTTACAGCTCCTCTTTCGATATGCCAATCATATTTGGGAGAACTGCATGAGCTGCCCTTGAGACAGTCACCTATGGACCCCAAACAGGGTCAGCATGGCACTTTCAGGAAAGCTACAGAAGTAAAGCAGGCTGTGTCCTTCCTTTATTAAAGTCAGCTAAGTCAAGTTCCTCACCCTACTTGTTTTAGAGTCTCAGCTCTGTGTGCCCAAGCATTTGAATGTGTCCCGTTCTATAGGGAAACATTGCTATGCATACACCTAACTTGGAGGATGTGTGTGATACCAGAACATGCCTCACTGTGGAGCAGGGAGAGAGGTAGGGCCAGACTTTTTCTTCTTTGTGTCTGAGTTTGGAGGAGGGAAATGGAACTCATAATGTGATTCCCATCAGCAGCTAGCCCTTTAATCTATACAAATGAAATACTCAATTTAATAGAATTCTAAAAATAAAACAAATGCTTTGTTCTCAGTGAATCTGCCATTCAGAGCTCCTCTTGGCAGCACATCAACCGTACTTGAAATGTCTTTAAGTGGGTATTTTTTTTTTATTGTGCTTTTCATCCGAACACATCTTTTGAGCTGTTAGAGTTTTGAACACATCTTTTGAGCTGAGGAGGCTGAACTCTTCTGAGAGTATTGGGTCTGTGTTGTTCTAAGGTTCCTGTTTGCTGACTTAGCAATAAAGAGCTTACCATAATAAGTATTTTGACCATGGAATTTAGAGGCTAAAAAATAATAGAGCAAATTAAGATGAGTTTGAGGTAGAAAGAAATACAGCAGAAGAAGGTATTTGTAATGAAATGGATTACAGTTGCTAACAAAGTACACTGTTGTTCTGGGGAAATTGGAAGTGAAAAAGTACCACAAAATGTGGGAGTTAAGAAATAGTTCTTACTATTTATTGAACATTTACTATGTTCTGAGCACTGTATTATGAATTTTTCATATAATATTTCATCTAAACCTCCCCACATCCCTATGAGTTACAAAGAAGAAATTGAGCCCTGGCTGGTTTGGCTCAGCGGTTAGAGTGTCGGCCTGCGGTCCTGAGAGACCCGGGTTCGGTTCCCGCTAAGGGCGCGTACCTCGGTTGCAATTTGTCCCCGGCCCTGGTTGGTTGTGCGGGTGGCAGCCACTCGATGTGTCCCTTTCACATCGATGTTTCTCTCTCTCTCTCTGTTCCTCTCTCTCCCTCCCACTCTACCTGAATAAAAAATGGAAAAATGTCCTCAGGTGAGGATAAAAAAAAAAGAAAAAAAAAAGAAAAAGAAATTGATGTCTAGATGGGTTGTTACATAGAAAGTGGCTCAAGCCTTGATCTACCTGACTTCATGGTCTTCTCTAAAGTTTGCTGGATTATTTTTTGGATTTTCTGATGTGTTTGAAAAAATAAGCATTTTAATAAATTTATCAAGGGTATTTTCTTAAATCATATATTAGAATTCTCAGGTTAGTATTTATTATTTTAAATCATTTATTGGTTTAAAAATATTATTTAAGCTTATTTAATTAGGAGTGTTTCTATCATTGGAAACTATGCAAAAATTGTGGGAAATCTTTTTCAATTAGTTGAGATGCATCCTTGTGGAGTTTGAAAGTGTGCAAGAGAAAAGTGAATTCTTGTTTACTCTCTGATTGCAACAATGAAGTCCCTGAGCTAAAACGTTGCGTTAAGAATGAGTGTACAAAATTACTTAGCCATAATTTCAGGAGTGCATGAATTTTGCTGTCAGTCTAGGGCCAGTCAGGCAGGGACGGGATGGATATTCCTCTGTCCTGTGGATAGGATTACATTCGATGCAGAAGATGCCCACGTGTTGCTGGAGACCTTCTCTCAGCCCAGCTTGCCTGGGTGGTCACACATATGTGCTCTCAGGGCAGGTGGGTGAGGGGACTTAGAGGTACAAGGGTCTTTTCCCACAGAGAAAGGCTGTTGGGTCACAAGTTATTAGTAGTCATCAGGGGAAACAGTTCTTTCTTAGTTGCAGGTGAATCTTTTCCCTCTCCCATCTATGTGAAATATTGTACAAATGGCATTGGAATACAACAAAATATCTCTTGATTCTTGACCTCTAAAACTTAGAACCCACTGGGAAAGATAACACATAATCACTTGAAAAATAAGGTTAGAGGAGGAGAAAGATTATTTTTGGTCCCCTTCCTGCTTCCCTCAGGAACCGGCCCTGATGCCCTCTTTATGAGGGTAGCGACTTAGTCCTTCTGTTCATTGATGTCTCTGCAGCCCCTGGAACCCAGCCCACATAGACACTCAGTAGCCTGTATTGAAGGAATTAATAAGGCTAGCAGTCAGGAAGGGCTTCATACAGGCAAATGGCATTTAAGGTCATTCTTTATAAGAGGATTTTTATAGGTATGTTTCGGGGAAGAGAGAGTCAGGAAAGTGTAAGGTCGGTTTGGGGAGAACTATTTTGGATGAAGTGAGGGGCTGATGAAGGAACTTTTTGTGGTATTGTCAGAAAAAGAGGTGGGAGTCACATTTCCATGTTTTGGACGGCATTGCATCTGACCAGGGAGTGTCAGTCTGTGTTGTCCTTAGGAGGCATTGGTTAGAGCAGTAAAGCAGACCAGGGATGTGATCAGACTTCCCCAGCCTGAAAGACAAATTGCATGCTCATCTTCTTCTTTTTTTTTTTATCCTCCCCTGAGGACATTTTTCCACTTTTTGTCAGATAGAGTGGGAGGGAGAGAGAGGAAGAGAGAGAGAGAAGCATCGACGTGAAAGGGACACATTGAGTGGTTGCCACCCACATGACCCAATCAGGGCTGGGGACAAACTGCAACCGAGGTACATGCCCTTAGCGGGAACCGAACCTGGGTCTCTCTGGACCACAGGCTGATGCTCTACCCTCTGAGCAAAACCGGCCAGGGCTGCATGCTCATCTTCTAAATTTTTGTTGCTCACGTAGGAGAATTTTTTTTTACTTGTACTGAGTAGATGGACTATTTGATATGAAGCCATTGTAATTTGCCGACATAATCACTAGACTGTAGTTTCTGGCAGGGATATTACTGAACCTGTTTTAGCTGGTTTCTGTTCCTAATCACTTGAGGGACTTATTGCCTGAATTATACTTTTGCTTTTCCCTGAACTCTCTGTAGAAGACTAAATAGGGGAAAAGAATAAAAGGTAAATGAATATTTGTTGACCCATAGAAATCTGCCAGTCACTTACTTTTACATATATACTGCTATTAATTTATTATATTTTATATACCCATCCTAATCCAAAGAGTATTAGAGTGCACATCGACATTTTCAAAAGGTGAACCCATTAAAGAAAAGGAAGAATAAGGTAAGAAAAGTAATGGAAGCCAGTGGAGGCTGTTGCACAGATGCCTGCCATGAGACTTGTTCACTTGCTAGACATGGTTGCAAATTGGACTCGGGGCTTCTTGACTTCCAGTGCAGAGAGCGAAACATGATGAGCTGTATGGTTCACAGTGTTCATAAAATAAAAAGAAATCAAACACCCAGGAGCAGCCCAGCTAGTTCTGGAACCTGAGAGAAAATTTTCCCACGAGTCCTCATAAAGAAGACTCTGAAACATTTTATTTTGGCCGCCAGTGGGAAGGGTTGCTATCCTCTCATGAAAACCAAGGAGTCAGGCGAGATGCTCCGCTGCCTGGAATGGACTGAGGGGGGAGCTGTGCGCGGGGCCAAGGCTGCAGTCTTTGGTCCCGAAGGACCTCAAGGAGTAGTTTTGCCGTGAACTCTCTGGGATATACTCTTCATCCCCTTCATATCAGTCTGCAGTTATGCTTGTTTATTTGTTTACTGGTTCTTCTCCCAATTAGATTGTCATCTGCATGAGGACAAGGGCTTTACATGTTTACTATCCTTTCATCACGACAGAGCACAATATATATTAGGAGCGTAATAAATATTTACTGAATGAAGGAAGGAATGCAAAGACCTGGCGATAAAATGTACCCTAAGGTAACCGAATTAGTGGTTTTTAACTTATTTATAAACCAGGCTACATTAATTTTCTAGCTGTAAGAATATTTGGAATGTTTATCAGAATTATTGATCTTGAACAGCTGGTAGAAGACATTCTTCTTGCCAATAATCAGATAGCCTCAAATGGGCAGTTGTCTGAGTAGGATTTATAATCCATGTCTAACCAATGAGAACACAAAAGTTCGGAGAAGTTGAATTAGAGTTATTTTCCTACTTTTAAGAATAATGAAAAAAAATTTAATCCAAAAATTTTCATGAGCATATAGTATAATTTGGCTGTGGTATAGGTGGCAGCTACATTCATACACATTAGGTAAATGTTAGACATTTCTAAAATAATTAAGCTGTTTGTGGAAACCAGTTATATGGTCAACTACTGCTTGCTTCCTTTTCAAATGCAGATTACTGTCATTCCTGGTGAGAGAATGTATGAATTCCATTGCCTGTGGTGGCTGATTAAGGGCTATGTCCTCCCACCCTGCAGGGATACCGAGTACAAAGGGCTGCAACTTTCCCTGGATCAGATCTCAGCCTCCAAACCAACCTTCTCCTATGCCAGTAGCTCCACGCCTACCATGCCTGACAACAGGAAAGGGGCCAAGTCCAGACTCTCCAGTTCAAAATCAAAATCCAGGACTTCCCCATACCCTCAGGTATGTGCGTTGCCATTCTACAAATTTCTTGTGTGTGTGTGTGTGTGTGTGTGTGTGTGTGTGTGTCCTCATTTGGTCTCATTGTGGAAGAAGTATGAAAACAGTTTGGAATGAATTACCTGGTTTTAATAAATTTAAAACGTCTATAAATCTGGAAAGCTTTCTAAAACTATTTTCTTTCTCCTGTTATTTCTTTAAAATAACCATGCTAGTAAAAATCTGAAATGATCTTGTGGTTTACTGCTTTTATATAAAGGTTGTGAGAGTCTCAGTCTGCAGTCAGAACTATAACTTTGTTATTTGAAGGAGATTGATCCAAAATTTCCCCCCACAATGATTAACCAGAAAGATGTGCCCAGCATAGCAAAATATGGAAAACAAGAGCTTGATGTAGAAGAATTGAATCTAAGGACAGGAACAAAAGTCAAAGGAAATTAAGAAGCGGAGGCAAAGGATCAAGGATGCATTTCATCATGAGATTTGAGCACAGATGGAGTATTTATGGGGAGGAATGAAACAGAGAGGGTCTTCCAGATGGCAGGAGTGGTAGGAAAAGCAACTCTTCTCATCTTTGCAAGGTGGTGAGCTGATGAGACCCAGAGGAGGCATTCCAGAAACACTGCAAGGTACAAAGATGAGTTCTGATTCTTGGAAGGAAAAAATTGTTTTTCTGATCAGTCACTGAGGTATAGAAACTAGACTGTGTCAAAGTGTGTACACAACCTCTCCTGGTCTGAAGGGAGCAGGACAGAACTGGGAATTCCCTACTCCCAGTGTTCTGTGACCACCTCACTTCCATCCTGCTCTTTAAGGGCATCCCATCAAATGTCTTGCAGTTTATTCAAGTAACACAGGAAATAATCTGTGGGCTAGTATAAAATCAAACTGGATTTGCAGTCATTTCATCAAGGTGGTCTTTCTCATTTTAATGTATTTTTAATGTAAAAATGGCAATCTGGTGCATACAGAAAGGATTATTTTCTTACTTATCAGAGCATGTTAATCTGTTGATTTCTACAAGTGTATACTCTTTGGAGAAATGTCATTCATTGACCTAATGGTCACTAAGAAGCGATTATTTGCTAGACTATTTTAGTGGCTTAGTATATGAAGATGAGACCATGGCTTTAGGTGACTCACGTCACGTTGTTTAAAATCTCCCACAAAAGACTAGATTTGTTTGTTCTGACAAAAGGGACTGAAGTAGATGTGTGATGCCTAAACGTTTTTCAGTGGACACCTTCTGTTATGAGGACCAAGCAATCTACTTATAAAGTCACTTAAATTAAAATCACTGTGGAGGAGGAATTTTTATTGAACATCTGAGAAGCTTTTCTATTAGTATCTTATCCTTTGGGAAGTTTTACTTTCTCTTTTACTACTTGAAAGAATGGATTCTGTATTTTGATAATTCTATCCTTAAATACATAATAGTGTTGGACACATAGATGAAAGAATTTAAAGGAATTTGTCTGTTGTATAGAAATTAAGCCAAAAAAAAAAAAAAATCTCCTCATTGAACTTCCAAAACTTCACTAAGTCTATGTTTTCTTTCATGCTCAGCTCTTAATGTTTAGAATTTTTATTAGTTTTCTTTAACAGTAGAGTAACTACTCATTTAAAATAATGTTTTAAGTGCAATTAGGTTGCTTCTTGTGTGTGTGTTAATTTGAAAGTTATACATGTTCCATGGTTTATAAAAAAGTAATACAAAATAGTGGAAAGTAAAGTATCCCCTTTTATCCCCTAATTTTCCCTCTCCAAAGTTGTGCTTTAGTCTAGAAATATTCTAAGAAGTATAAAAATCATGCACACACAGCCACTCGATGTGTCCCTTTCACGTCGATGTTTCTCTCTCTCTCTCTCTCTCCCTCCCGCTCTACCTGAACAAAAAATGTCCTTGGGTGAGGATAAAAAAAAAAAAAAAAAGTAAAAACAGGACCCCAGGCACAGTTAATTATGGGGCTACATTTAAAAAAAAAAAAAAAATCATGCACACACACACATATGTCCACATATGATTTCTCTTGACGTTTGTATGTTCATTTTTGTGGTTAATACATATATAAATATAGACATTAGAATTTTGGCCATATGTCTTATTTGAAATTGCACAGTCATGAATTAAGTATATTTAACATTTATATCTAGTAAAGATTATTCTTTAATTGTGTTTACTTTAGATAATCATGGTGCTGGGTCAATCACTGACTGAGTTCCTACTACATGGGCTGCTGATATACAAGGGAGCAGGCATTTGTAGTGAATTGTCATGGGGTGAGCAGAGGATCCTCTGGGGACACATTGGAAAAGCATGACATCCACAGTAAACTCATTACTGTTTCTGCTGAAAGAAAACAACTTAGTACCGTCATCTTGAATTCCAAATCCTCAGAAATTATAAAGAAAAAATATTCAGCTTCTCAATAGTTTTATTTGGTTCATATTATCCTTCAATTATTAAGGGACACTTAATTTTTAATTTTCATGCATTACATCTTTGAGTCAGTAGATGGTAAGTGAGCACCTGCATCAGCAGAATGCTATGCTGGCCACTGTGGTGAATTAAGGAGGGTAGAGGTTAGGTAAAAGGTGCTGGAATATGAAGAAGTGGTACATGAAGTGTCCTTAAATTTTGTAATGCAATTGGAATAAGTAGCAGGTGGTGTATACAAAGGGCTTTATGAGTGGTGTCAGCTACAGAGACTCTAGCCTGGATGGATGGAGAGTGTGTTGTAGGTGAGCTGGTTCTGAGGGTAGAATTCAAGTATATGGGCATAAGGGAAAGAAGAGGATACTTCAGGATGACCAAGACTATGAAGAAATTCAGGAATGCATTGTTTGTGTGATTGGGCTTGGAGGTGAAGTGGAGGAGGGTAGGTCCCTGCGGATATGGACTAGATGTTATATGTGCTAGGCCATGGTGTTTAGAGCTTGTTTTGTGGAGAACTGGTAAAGGTTTTGAGTAGAAAATCAGAGCATTAATGTGATTTAAGCAAAACAAACTGCTTAGGAGACTGAGGTTAATAATCCTGGTGTGAGTGTGTGAAGGTAGGAACCAAATGTCTTGACTGAAGTAAGAGGCATTGTACAGGAAAATGGATACGTTGCTATCTTTGGCTGTTTGCACCTCTTCTTGTTATAGATATATTTTAGTTATTATAGATTTACTTTGAAATTATATTTTAAAGCTAACTTTTTCTTCAGATAAATACCCAGAAGTGGAATTTCTGGGTTGTATTGTAGTTCTATTTTTATTTTTTAGAGGAACCTCCATACTGTTTTCCACAGTGGCTGCATCAGTTTACAATCCCACCAACAGTACATGAGGGCTCCTTTTTCTCCACATCCTCACCAACACTTGTTATTTGTTGTGTTTTTTATAACAACCATTTTGACAGGTGTAAGGTGATATCTCATTGTGGTTTTGATTTGCATTTCCCTGATGATTAGTGATATTGAGTATCCTTTTATATATCTGTTGGCTATCTGTATGATTCTTTGAAGAAACAGTCTTTTTAGGTCTTCTTCCCATTTTAATTGGATTATTTATTATTTTATTTATTTTAATCCTCATCAGAGGATATTTTTCTAGTGGGTTTTTTTGTTTGTTTGTTTGTTTTTTTGTTTTGTTTTTTTTGTTTTAGATAGAGTGAAAGGAAGGGTGGGGGGAGAGAGAGAGACATCTATGTAAGAGAGAGACATTGATTGATTGCCTCCCACACAACCGCGACTGGGGCTGGGGATCAAACCTGCAACCCAGGTACATGCCCTCGACTGGGAATCAAACCTGCATCCCTTTGTTCTGCGGGCCAATGCTCTAACCACTGAACCAAACTGGCCAGGGATAATTGTTTGTTATTTTGATGTTGAGTTATATGAATTCTTTATGTATATTTGGATTTTAACCTCTTATTGGATGTATCACTTGCAAATATCTTCTCCCATTCAGTATGTTGCCTTTTCAAAAGATACATACACCCCTATGTTTATTGTAGTATTATTCATAATAGCAAGATATGGAAGTGGCCTAGGTGCCCATTGGTAGATGATGAATAAAGAAGATATGGTATCTTTTTTTTTTTTTATCCTCCCCTGAGGACATTTGTGCATTTATCTTCAGATAGAGTGGGAGGGATAGAGAGAGGAAGAGAGAGAGAAACATCTATGTGAGAGACACACATCGAGTGGTTGCCACCCAAACAACCCCAGCCAGGGCCGGGGCAAACTGAGGTGCGTGCCCTTAGCAGGAACCGAACCTGGGACTCTTGGGTCCGCGAGCCGACACTCTAACCACTGAGCAAAACTGGCCAGGGCAAGATATGGTATCTATATGATGTGGAATATTACTCAGCCATACAAAGGAGAAAATCTTGTCATTTGCAACACTATGGATGAACCTAGAGGGTATTATGCTAAATGAAATGAGTTGACAGAGGAAGACAAGTACTGCATGAATTCATGTATTTGTGGAATCTAACAAAACAAAACAGAAATAGACTCATATATTCAGAAAACAAACTGATGGTGCCAGAGGGTGGTGGGAGAATGGGTGAAGACGGTGAAGGGGAATAAGAGGTACAAACCTCCAGTTATATGAAAAACTCATGGGGATGTAATATACGGCATAGGGAAATAGTATTATTGTAATAAGTTTATATGGTGACAGATGGTTACTAATATTGTCACGATCACATTGTAAGGAACAGAACTGCTGAATCACTATGGTGTACACCTAAAAACTAATAATATTGTATATTAACTATACTTTAGTAAAAAATAAAGTTTACTTTTTTTAGCTAATACACACGTGTACGGAATTCCATTTACGTATTATTGACACATAATAAATGCAATTTAACCACTGAATGATCAAGCTTTTAATTGTATTTAACTTTAAATACTTTCTCAAAATGAAAGAGAAAAAATATTTTTGTTGATTTCCATATACATATTTTTAGTATGTAAATTTCCATCAGATTTTTAAAGTAGTTTCCAGA